TAAAACAGGAAACTAAACACAAAAACTAAAATCATGACAGAAATGTCATTAATTATACGATTGATTTCACGATTACGAGATAGTCGGAAACAAGAAAGAAGAATCATTACAGCTTCAACACTAGAACCGCCAACGGGTCACATTTACCCGCTATTGATTTCAATGTACAAAGTTCTTTGATTCATCATACAGAACAGTGAGTTTTGATCGCACAGGGATGAAACTTATACCAATAGAAACTGTGGACTCTCAGCTTTTCATATGATATAGGTTGTGCAGATAGCATGAAGTTTAAAATATCGCTAAGAGTGCTGATTTAAACGCTTGGTGTTAGACTTGTGTTTTGTTTAGGTACACATCTCTCTATCTCTCTTCTCTCTCTCTCTCTCTCTCTCTCTCTCTCTCTCTCTCAATCTTTCTATCAATCTATAAGGAACCGCAGTAGACAAAAGGCGTTGCTATAGCAACACGTCATGTTTACTCTGCATATTCTATGAGGTGTGGTGACCACGTATTTAACCACTGGGACATAATTCAAACTGGGAACTACAGTTGCGGTTATTGTTCCCACACGGACATGTTAGGGGTTACCTATATATAGTGTGTGCCCTCTTGGCTCTCTCTCTTGTCGACCCGGGCTGCGACCCGACAACATGTCCCTTGCAGCTTGTTAATAAATTACTATTTCTGCACCTTCCTCTGACTCCATATCCTCGGCACTACAGAGGTAAATATTACCCGCTGGCGGATATAGGTATAAATGGCAATTTTCTTTGGCGATTTTTTCAATCTGACTTCATATTGACATTTTGTAACAACAGAGGGTGCTACATAACACACTTTCAGGAAAAGTCACGGACTGGGAGACTTTAATATTTTACTGAAAAAAAAGTTACATACGATCAAGAAACAGCAGCGGGTAAAATTGACCCGTTGGCGGTTCTAGTGTTAAAGTCTCAAGGTGATTTTCAATGAAAATAAAAGCAAAAACAACAACAGTTTAGTTCATAACAACAAAGGTTGATTACATTTAAAATGTAGGTTTTCAGAAAGCAGCATAAAACATGTAATCATCTGTGTATTTATACGAGTAAAACATCAAAATGTGGTAAAAAAAAAACATTTTAAGGAGTGAACTCTGAGAATCTAACTTTTCGTTTCTCACACTGTGCGGTGAGGAGGAAGTTGGATATTAGAGGAAGAGAAGGATAACAGGAAGGGAAAATTATATTAAAACACACGAGGAAAATGAGTTACTGAGAGAAGAATGAGAGGAGAGGGGGAGAGATTTCTTTATTCCTCCTCCTCTTGTTTTCTGTTTCGTTGTGCGTCCATTTTTTATCTCGTTTCGTAACTGCGACACAATCTCACGCTCGAGTGCTTCATTCATAGTCTCTCTCATTCAACACACACTCATTTCACCTGCACACACACAGGGAACACACACCATCACTCTCACACACACCATCACTCACATACACACACACACACACACGCACGCACGCACACACACACACACACACACACACACACACACACACACACACACACACACACACACACACTCTGTATACTGATTGATACAGTGATCATTCACACCCACATTCATTACTGCAACACACACTCTATGAATATTTCATGCAGCACAAATAAAACACCCTGCAGACTTTTCTCTCTCTCTCTCTCTCTCTCTCTCTCTCTCTCTCTCTCTCTCTCTCTCTCTGTGTGTTTCTTGTGATGTAGTGTCTGCCAATTTTTTCTGCATCAAAAATGCAATAAGCTGTAACTGTGACTGTCACACAAACACAAGACGGATAGAGACTGAGGAGGGGAGTAAAGAAAAGAGAGAGGGGAGGAAGGGGGAGAAAGAAGGGTCATATCAATGATTTACAGCTGGTAGGGTTGAGGTTTATTAGCTGTTTAAGGGAAATCGTCTTCTCAAATATAATAAATACACAGTCAGTTTACTGTAAAAGTTGGTTGGTTGGTTGGTTGAATGGTTTGTCGGTTGGTTGGTTGGTTGGTTGGTTGGTTGGTTGGTTGGATTGTTGGTTGGTTGGTTGTTGGTTTGTTAATTGGCTTGGTGGTTGGTTGTTTGTTGTTGATTGGTTGTGGTTGGTTGGTTGGTTGTTGGGCTGGTTGGTTTGTAAATTGGTTTGGTTGGTTGGCTTGGTTGTTGGTTGGTTGGCTCCTCCGCCTTAGTTAGTTGAATGGTTCTGTTCGGCTGTTGGGTTGTTGCGTTGCGGTTGTTGGTTGTTGGTTAGTTATTGAAATGGTTTGTCGGCTTGGTATCGAGTTGGGTGGTTGGTGGTTGCGTTGTGTTGGTTGTTGGTTTCGATTTTCTCTTGGTTGTAATTTCCGCCAGAATATAGGGCAACTCGCTTTGATGTTCAGTTATGACTATAGTTTATGTGCCAACAATGGACAGTATCAAGCAGTAAATGCTTTCATTTCGAATGTTTGAAGTAATCTTGTGTATGCTTTGTCGCCTCCAAAATTGACAGCAGAAGTCAGTTCTTTATTTCTTCTTGGGTTTGTCCATAACAACATTCGGCAGGTACACAGCTTAACTAGATATGGGAAACTCACCACTGTTCAAGGCTTAGTGACCATTCTTTCTTAACGTTATTCTATAATCCTTCTGTAGTTTCTCTCTGTGTTTCTGCCTTGCAGCATTTAGTTTCCATGTGGATTTCCATTTGTGCCACGAGTCCCACGTCGTTTATTCATACCGCTCTCGCCTCGATTTTTAATCTATATCGCTCCCAGTTGCCGCCGCGTCCTGTCCAGGAGGAGTTGAGTAAAAAAACAAGGCGATAAATGGATTTTCACTGTTTAGTTTTACAACCGGGCATACGACACGTCGCATCTCTTACATCAGCTCTGCCTGCCACTGAAGGCTTTTAACTAACTTTGTTTATTCCTCACACACATTTACAGGCAGCTCTCAAGATTTATGAATCGTACAGCAAATCTGTAACATAAGATGCCCATTTGCTTCTATATTTACTGACATTAAAATATGAGCAAAAATATGAGCTCAGAGTTTGTTCTCTCAGATTTACAACTTAATAAATCCTATGCTTACAGGGAATAAAGAAATAAATGAGATCACATATAAATAAATGATCGTGTGCAGCTGTTTTAATGTCTACATGCAGTTTAAATGTGGTTGGAAGGACTCTCTGCAGGATCTCTAATGACAACTCCCTGCAGAGAACACCCTGTTTATCCGACCAA